CGATTAGTTTTATAATGGTTTATTTCGCTACAGGCATAATACATTATTAACTTAATTTACTAACTGAAATCTGTAGGCACAAAATAAATAGAAATTATAAAAATAAATAATTTAATTACTACCAAACTTTCGTAATGTGGGATCGTAAACCTACATTAATAACTTTTTGTTAATAAACTTCTTTCATATTTTAAATATAATATTTTATGTCATAATTCTGATAAACGCTGCAATTTAATATAAATTTAATTACCTCATTTATTTATAGACTTGAATAGTAGTCTATAAATAAACGAGGTATTAAATTTATGATATTGATGGCCTCGGTGGTATAGCGGTTTAACGCACTGCTTTACCTGGTTCGATTCCTCGCATGGTGCAAACTTTTGTTATTATGAATATTATTGTTTGCATTAGTATGGGTGTCTTTTAAGTATATTATGTATATATTTATAAACAAAATATGTAAGTATTTATATAAGTTGTCTAGTACACATAACACGAGCTCTGCTTAGCTTCAGACTAGAGGGCGTTGTGTGAATTGTCCAGGATTATTACTATTATTATTAAAGTCATGTAGATAGTTATTAAAATAATACTAATTGCAGCAGATTACGTATTTCTTTGTATTTAAGCAAGAACATAAAACTCTGTTATATTAAATTACCTAATTCAGTAGAAATACAACCATCAAAGTCCTAGTAAAAGGTGTAATTAAAGGTACCAGACTAATTTGGACGCCGGGGACTGAGTATCCAACTCAAAGAGCTAATGAGGTTACTTTATCTGCGACAGGTGTCTGGTCTGGGAATTTATTATATTTTAATACTATTACTATATTACATGTAATGTGAAAATTATGTTCAGAAAAGTATGTATTTGGTCTGTTATAAATCTGCCAGAAAAAAGATTTAAATGTCAAATAAAACAGTTCCTTTGCAAAAAAGCTTACTATAAAATTGAAATATTCGTTAACGATAATAATGTTTTTATAGAAAAACTTTAAATCCATAGCACTGACAATATTATCTGATTACACTAATAATGAGTGCGTAGCGATTTCTATGCTGATTATCGCATGCCTCTTACTTGTTATACTGTAATTATTTATATAAAAAAACATCTATTAAAAAGAGCAACACACAAGTTTCTTGCTCATTCTTCTTGTGATGAATCTGCATTCCGAATGAGTGGTAGAATCAAAATATGACTATTCAAAAGTGCTTGTAATGAGTTTATTTGAATAAAGATTATTTCTATTTCGATTGGGATAAGATTTATTTTGTTTTATTTTTATTTAATATGCACGGGTGTACATGTATTATACATAGAAACCTTCCTCTGGAATCACTATCTATTGCTAAAAACTACATCAAAATTCGTTGCGTAGTATAAAAGCTAAAATAAAGTAACTAAATAACCCTGGACAATTAACACAGCGCCATCTAGTCCCACGGTAAGCGGAGCTTGTGTTATGAGTATTAGACAATTAAATCCACGCTGTATTGAGTTGATTGGAAGCGATCTATTCTAGAGATAAATCCTGCTAAAAATATTTCTAATGAACATGCCTAAATAATGTATTTAAGTGCAATAAATAATATATAAGTTTATGTTTAACACAACGACAGATCTGCATCGTATCTGGAGTGTGTTCGTAATGCATTCAAAAGAGAATATACATACAATCCAACCTCTAAATTTAAGTAATTGGCAGAGACAGCTTCCGATGCAGCCAAGTTATTGTTTTAGCTGGTATAACATTTGTTTAAGTTTTTTTTGTTATGTTATTTAGTATAGTTACGATGGGCTTTTGATCGTCACATTTTGTGTACAAAAATTTACTAATATTATAAAACGTTTGTGAGTATTGGTGGATGTTTGTTATACTTTCACGCAAAAACTACTGAACGACTGATTTTGATGAAACTTTACAGTAATATAGCTTATACATCAGAATAACACATGGACTATAATTTAAAAAGATGTTATGTAAATCAAAATATAATGATAAATGACAAGTAATTGTTATGCAGACGAAGTTACGCAGGTCAGCTAGTTCAAAATAAAATAAAGTGACAAAAACGTGGTGACCACTCATGCGTTCAACTGAATCATCCAAAGCTTAAACAGTAACAAAGGTACTCAGAACTATTGCGTACAAACTCTCCCTCTGGGATTTTAGCAGCTATTTGATATAATACACTTTGCTGCATTTCCAACACATAGGTAAACATTGCAGGTAGTACCAACTCCAGTTTAATTGAGTTAATTAAGTTTCACTAACGAAATAAACTGCACGTTGGTGTACCTCCTACGTCCATAGAGCTGTACGATCTAATTTCCTTTGCATTAAACTTTGGAGGCGGGAATTTGCATGACTGTAATGTATAATTATGGTAGAGCAGACATGTAGTGGTATTCAAAAAATGTATATATACAAGTATTTATATCAATTGTCCAGCTTTGCTTTGGAACTAGGTGGCGTTTAATTGTTTTAAAAAGAAAAGAAAAATAGAAACAAAATGAAAGTTTACTGATCCTTGTAGTTTTTCTATTTAAGTAATAAAAATGAAATTACACACGTTGTTGTCGTTGGGTTCTTTTGCTGTTATGACCGATAAATATTGTATTGCTTTAATATTTTTTTACAATTACGTCAATCTGTATTTGAAACTAAAACTATATGTTAAAACCGTAATCGATAAGAAGGTCTCGTATATACACCTAACACACGTCGTAAAATATAAACTAAAATAGAAATAGTAAAAAAAATCAAAGCTTAGAAATTCGAATAGTGTTGAATATATATATTGAAATAAAATAAAATAAAAAGAATAAAGTAGCAAAGAAAATAATGCAACAATAATTTAATTGTTCAATTAACAATTTGCGATACATTAATTTATTTCTATCGCAACTCTAAGATCTTATTGATCAATTACTGAAGAACTTGCATAATACATAATCTTAATCAACTTGTTAATTATTCCTTCGGATTTAGACCAGTGATTCCCAAAGTGGTCTATATCGACCCCCAGGGGTCTATGACAAACTGCAAGTGATCTACGACAACGGTCACCTTGTTGTTTTTACTTTATATTTTAACACTAAACTTTACTATAGTTAGAAATTTACAGAAAATAAATAACAGGTAAGAATGGGGGGGGTCTACCCAAAACCGAAAAATATGGCAAGGGGTCTACGACACAAAAAAATTTGGGACCCTCTGATTTAGACAATCGATCGAACGGCTCTGTTTACAAAACAATTCAGTGACTATAAGTCTGGTCTGTGTTGGCGGGTATTCGGGTCAAGGTTCGGATGAGTTGCAAACTCATGATTGGTCAAGTGGCTCGTTTATCATAACCTGATTGATCTGTCAATCAAAACGAACTTATTCAATCAAGAGATGGCATTATGTTTGTTCGGGATGGGATTATTGAGGGGATTAAGTGGTTATGATTTCGTATCGTTGATCGTTCGTGATCGTTCCTATCGTATCGTTATGATTTCGGTTCGTATTCCCAATTAGGTAATTTATCTGAAGATTTATTTACTAATGTAATAAATAACATATAAGATATAAATTTTGACGGTATCCGTGGTTTAGTAATTTAGTACACTGCTTTATTTTCAGTGGTAGCGGGTTCGATTCTTCGTATGGTAGAAACATTTGAAATCATGAGTATGGTTGTTTGTGTCTGGATGGTTTTCTATGTATAATATGTATATATTTAGGAATAAAAAATATATATCTATGTATTTGTATTACTTGTCAAATATCCATAGAAAAAGCTCTGCTTAACTAGGGACTATATAGGCGTTGCGTAAATTGTTCGGGGATATTATTCATATTATTATTCTCGTGTCAGTGTTCGTTGCCAAACTTTTTCGAAACGGCTTAACCGATTTTGATGTAATTTATGTCGGTAGGTCAGAGAATAGGTTGATATCTATTTTTATCCACCTAGGTGGCCCCATAGGTAAAATATATATTTGATTTTTTTATGTTAAATTGTTTTATGATTCCGTCATCTACCACCAACTCCTATTTTTTAATGGAGATATGAATTTATATGGCAAAACGACATGTCAGGTAGTAGATAGATAAATGAGTTTTTCATATAAATAATAATAATTAATATTATTTGTATATGTATTTAGTATTCTCCCTTTCCCTTACCCAATGCTTCTATCTCCCTGGTTGTCTGTAAGAGATTGCTTTAAGCGATAAGGCCGCCTTTGTTTGCCTTCTTTTTTTTATTTCCTTTTTGTAATTATTTGTTTCTTTTATGCACAATAAAGAGTTTTATTATTATTATAATTTCTAACTCTATTGGCTTGGGCCATGCGTTGTGTCATAGCAGTTTTTTTGTATACCAGTATAACAATATCAATAACACCTTTGGTAGGATAAGCTTTTATTATAATTTATCTTGAATTTCGGATACAAAATAACTTGGAAACTTGTATATCTTATTCGACCTGAGATGAGGGTAGCTATTGTTGGCCAGTGAATGTGCTGATGGGTTTTTGATAGCTATTCATTGTGTTTACGGAGAAAGTGACGATAGACGTAATTCTATAAAAGCCTTAAATGGATACAAATAAAATCTAACTTGGAATGGCAATTTTTTTTTTATTATTCTGAATGGATTCAATTATTTTACTTAATATATACGATTACCGTAATGATGCATTGTCGATATATAGCCATAATTTTTTACATTTCTTGTTTATTCCAATAAGGCATATATATTGAAATTAATTCTATGTGAATATGCAGAGAAACTGCAATTTTAAGTTTAGATAAGGTAATGTGTTTTTCACGTAAACCTTAGCTTAATTCTCAGCTTTCTATAGTCTGTATATTGTATTAATATATGGATAAAAAAATGTATACATAATAATAATCTAAAATACTTATTTACCAATCTGTATACAAACTAAAAACATAAAAATATAATATAATTGAATTTAAAAAAATGTTGACTTACCTCTCTGAGTCCATGGCGAAGGTTTAGCGATCCAGTTTAGCTGCTAGTACTGCAACAAAACATAATATATACGTTATTTATAATTTTCTTAACGCTTACCTAATTTTTCATACAACAAGTAAAGTATTCTAAAACCGGGTCATTTTAAAATTCAATTCCCATGATACCATAATTGGAATAGAATAGGTTATGAATAAAAACTAATTTTAAATTTAAAATTGTGACATTAAGAGTTTGTGGGTTCACTTTAGTAGCTTATTATTTATCATATAGACATATTTTAGGATTATATGAAAGGTTTAAGAGTGTCGTATATGTAAGTAACAACATATATCGCAAAGATATGTATAGTATAATGTATAATGATTAAGTTATTAATAATAATTAACATTAAAGTCATTCCTAAATATATCAAGATGCACGTGCTATTACTAAGGTACCTAAAATTAGTAGAAACACGTCTTTTGTTCTTTGTTGTTTCATTCCGTCATACTCGTGAACGAGTGCTGCTTGTAGGGACTTGTCTGCTCTTATCACTACGACTGATTTAATCTTATTGTGTTTTTTTATTTGAACCTAAATAAATTAGTGCTGGTTGGTAGTTTGTATTAACACGTTTCGACTTGTAAAATGTGAACTTACAAGGATTGTTTAAAAGAGCAACACACAAGTTTCTTGCTTATTCTTCTTGTGATGAGACAGCTTTCCGAATAAGCGGTAGATTTAAAAAAAATGTTGACTATTCAAAAGTGCTTAAATTAAGTTTATTTGAATAAATGATTTTCTATTCTATTTGTCTCACCGTCTTTTCCTAAAAAGAACCCGTCAAAATGCGTCTTTATTTAACCGGTTTCGATTGAAGGTCAGTCTGATAAGGCAGTAAAATTACTAAGTATCTACTAAATTTCTCTGTCAATACAACAATACAATTGACATGGCCACTGATAAATTTGGTTTCTAATCGGTGCTTCCATCACTGAAAAGTTGGTCTAAATATAAATAGACACATTTTTCAAGTCGATCGGTTTTCATTTGAACCTGCTACCTATTGAGTCCAAGTCGTCCAACCACTATGCCACAACGCACTCGTCAACTACCAATTCGAACAAAATTAAAATGAACTAATCATAGGAACAAATAATCGGTTACAAAGGAGTCATTTGGCGATGTTAAGTAACATACAAAAATGCCTGTCCGTGATAGTCGAAAAGCTTTTAAAGAGACTAGACTGGGAGCAATTTACTGAACAATCCACAAGAACTACAACTTCTAACTTGAAATCACTGTAGAACCGATTTTGCGCTCAATTGAAACCGCTTTATACCGGTTTAAGCGACAAATGATAGCGTTACTCTGTAGCGCTGTAAAATATTTATTTATATTATTAAAGCCATAATAACTTCTTAACGTGAAAAAACATTTTAGACGTTCATAAAGAGAATATAAACGTACCAGAGGCTTTATCTCAAAAAAAAAATATTCAAAAGACCGTCCTTCCGTCAGAGGAGCGACGAGGGGGTGTCTGAGATTCTTGCTCTCTAAAACACGCTGTACCTACGAGCGCTATTGCCGGAGAAACTTTCATCCCATAATTGACATAAACATAGCCATATATGTTCATCCTCGTAGTAGAATATACGCTGTATGTCTGATAGTTTGTTACGTTTTTACTACTAAACGGCTGAACAGATTTTAATGAAATTTGACTTTACGATACATCGTATCACGAGGACGGACATAAGCATTTTTATTTTGAAAAAATAAAGCAGAAGAAATCGCTGGAAAAAGCTAGTATCTTATAAAGACAATAAAAATTAAACAAGTTAATGCCGTGAAGTTACAGGATATGGGGCATGAAGTTTTAATTCTCAGAAAAGTCAATGCGTGTGCGATATTCCGTGTGTCATATGATAACGTGATGAGTATGTAGGCGACGCGACGGCTACCATTTACTATCAAGAGTCAGAAGGGGATTGTTAGTAATGGATACTATTAACCCTTTTGCCAGAAATGTACCTTATCTGATCGATATCGGTAAACCATCTTGATAAATTCCTTGTAAATTTTCTACAATGGGCTAACTATGTGTTTTTAGCATGGGGTTTTTCAAGAAGGGTATCTTAAGGGTCGGCAACGCGTATATGACACCCCTGGTGTTTCAGGCGTCCATAGGCTACGATAACCGTTCACCATCAGATGGGCCGTATGCTAATTTGCCACCTAAGTTGTATAAAAAAAAACTAACTTGACCTTCACTGGTATCCTGCCTGCTTACGGTTTAGTAAGTGCAGGCGGATGTCATACCATTATCATCTATTAATAAAGAAGCCAGTCAGCTTGCTTGCCATTTCAGTCTAATTCGATCTAATTCAACAATTCCAAACACTACACTCCGGTGTCTTCTGTCACTTGGACCAAACATTTGTGTGACGAAGTTGAACAATGCGGAGATAAAACAATGCGCTATGAAAGAACATAAGCGATTGGAACTAATCGCACGTAACGGAGAACTTTATGTATTCCTATTTTCTACTAACTTTGAATTACTAGAAATGTGTTTGAATAAACTCCCTTCCATGACAATATTGTAAAGACAACAAATAAAATGCGACCTAACAAATTTATTATAAAACCGCATTCGTATATCACTGCACATTACATCGGTTGACTGGGAGAGGAATAGGGAAAATGTAATCTGGAGTAGGGGAAATGTAACCTGAAGTACGGAAAATGTAATCTAAATTTGGGGAAATGTAATCTGAAGTAAGGAAAATGTAATCTAAAGTAGGGGAAATGTAATTTAAAGTAGGAGAATTACCTCTGACTACCCCTTTTAGGATACCCGTCGTGAAGGTAATTTTATTACTACTCGCGACTTCGTACTCGCGTAACTGATTTGAATAAGACAATTGCTATATTTTAATTAAAGCTTATGACAATACGTCATTGAGAACAATAATAGGTACATTAGTTTCTGAGATTAGCACAAACTCACGGACGAACAAACAAAAATTATAACAATGTTTTTCGGTTCTATTATGTAGATAAAGCACCCCAACAGTTGTTTTCTTGTATATCAACAGCGACGAGTTACATTTTAAAATAATAGAAATAATCTTTATTTAAGCAAACTACCTTTTACTATATCTAATAGCAATACTTTTGAATAGTCATATATTTTGGATTCTACCACTTATTCAGAACAGATTCATCACAAGAAGAATTAGCAATAATATTGCGTGTTGCTCTTTAAAAAAAACGTAGTAGTAGGCGGTATCACACAACAGTATTTTTAATAATTTTGTGTGATACCGCCAAATAGCAAAGTTGACATATAAAGAATAAATAAATAAATAACTTGGTCATTGAGTCACAGAGCCATTGAGTCCCACGGTAAGCAGAGCTTGTTTTGTGGGTACTAGACAGCTGATACAAATACATATTTTATTTTTTTGTCATTACATACATAGAAAACACCGAGATCAAAACAAACGATCATACTCATGAATACAAATGTTTGAACCGTAAGAGGAATCGAACCCGCAACTATAGGAAGTAAAGCGGCGTGCCGAACCGCTAGACCACCGAGCGCGCAAATAAAAATTTAAATAAATAGTTACTTTAACAAAATAAATCAGTCATAGTTATCAGAGCAGACCAATCCAGACAGACAAGCAGCACCATGTATATGTATAGAAATAATGTAATAAATATGTGCTAAAAATGTGTGTTATAACAACAAATAATAGATTGTCCTATAAAAAATCCAGACGGAATTACATCATATGCAAAAACAACACGTATACAACCATTTGACGTAAATGGTACAGATCAAAATCAGAGTGTAAAGTAGTTCAGATCATTCAATAACCGATGGGAACTCGCCTAGCCGAGTTTCCACAAGTGACAAAGTTAGCACTCACCGTGATTTATAGTAAAAAAAACTGTGGGAAACTGTATTGTAAATTGATAAATGATCAATTATGCATGATCTTACACCGATAGAGTTTGTTAGTAATTGATATGTGTGAGAATTCAGGAAACTTCAGGAGGTTAATAATAAATATATAAACAACCTCGGTGGTTTAGTGGTTTAGCAGTATTTGCTTCACTTCCGATAGTCGCCGGTTCGATTCCTCGCGCGGTACAAGTTTTTGTATTCATCATTTTTTTAGTGTGATTGTTTGTATCGGTCTGCGTGTTTACTATATACATTACCTATACATATAAATAATATTGGAGTGTCTGTTTGTATATATTGAAATAACCGTTTTTTACTACATGCATACGAATATAAATACGAAAATAACATATTTTACAATTTTTGTTTGTCTGTCTGTCTGTTTGTTCCGGCTAATCTCTGAAATAGCTGGACCGATTTTGACGGGACTTTTTTTAGCCGGTAGCTGATGTAATAAGGAGTAACTTAAGTTAACTGGGTACTTTTATTTTAGAAAAATAAAGTTAAATTCCACGCGGACGAAGTCGCGTGTACAGCTAATGATAATATAATCTATCTACCCTAACATTAAAAACAATTATATCTTTAACATTAATTAATTCTACAGACACTTTAATCTGATGATGCTGTTCCGTTACTAAATCTGCTCTTATTACCTCAGACATAGAGTATAGAATGCATTGAATTTATTTACAAGATCTGCTAAGTGCCATAAATATCTGAGGTCCAATATTGACCTCTGTTTGCCTTTATTTATCGTAAACCGTAGTGCAGGATCTAATGTTTGCAATCTAAGGCAACTTGGGTTGTGCTTAAATATACAAGCTGTACTTATTTAGAGCACGTCCTTTAGGAAAATAGAGATAGTATATATATATATATTATTACTAGCTGACCCCGCAAAAGTTGTTTTGCTATATTAATTAAAATTGCTATTAAAACATAGGGGTTGGTGACAGAAGAATGATGATTTAGGGTTGTTGGTTTTTAATGCCACATAAAAACAGAAAAATAAAAAAAGTTCAATAAATAAAAAATAAATGTTAGGGATGAACAACCCTTATCACTTAGGAGTATGAAAAATAGAT